TTATACAATGATCAATTCATGGTACTTAGCTTAGTTATCTTGTCAAACATTTACCTTTTCTTCATGATGAGAATATCCAAAGTCCTGTCTTTGAATTACATAGTGCAATGTTGCTAATTACAGCCACCTTTCTGTGTAATAGAGCACAGAGCTCATTCTTCCCATCTAGCTGTGACTTTGTACCTGTGACCCAAACTCTCCCCATTCACCCCTCCCCAGACACTGGCAGCCTCTATTCTGCTCTACACTTCGATGAGCTCAGCTTGTTTTTAGATTCTGCATCTACTGAAGTGATTCAGCATTTGTCTTTCTCCACCCAACATTAGGATCCTTAAGTGCATCCATAGTGCTGCAGATGACAAGATCTATCCTTCCTGTGGTTGAATGGTATCCGTTGTGTGCACATTCCACAATTTCTGTTCATCCACTGATGGGCATCTCAATTGTTTCCATATTTTTGTAAAAATAACCATGGAGGTGCAGGTATGTCTTTGACACACTACCTTTGACTATATACCCAATAGTGGGATTGCTAGATAATAGGGTAGCTCTATTTATATGTTAGTCACTTAGTTTGTGTGTTCATTTATTTGAGAGACAGAGTGATAGATAAGAAATTTCCCATCTGCTGGCTCATTCTCTAAATGCCCGCTAATGCTGGAGTTGGGCTGAGCCAAAACCCAGGAGCCAAGAACTCTGTTTTTTCACATGGGTGGAAGAAACCCAACTGCTTGAGCCATCACTTGCTTGCTTGCTTCCCAGGTTTGCTTTAGCAGGAAGCTGGGGCCAGGAAATGGAGCCGGGGATCAAGTATAGGCACTCCAGTTTGTGACATGGGCTTCTTAACTAGAATCTTGACTGCTAAACTCACGACCTGCTTCTGAGAGTTCTGTTTTCAATTTCTTTAGGATTTTCCAAATTGTCTTTGATAGTAGTTAAATTAATTTGCATTTCAAGTAAGAATGTGTAAGATTTCTCTTTTCTCTAAATGCTCACCAGAATTTTGATGTTTTGTCTTTTTTATTACAGCCATTTTAAGTTGGGCGAATGACATCTCAATGTAGTTTTGATTTACATTTCCCCAATAGTTCATGATGTGGAACATTTTTTAATATAATTGTTGGCCTTTTGCATATTTCCTCTTGAGAAATTAACTATTTAGGCTATTTTCTTTTTAAAAATTAGATTATTTGTCTTTTATTCTTTATTATTAGTTTTTTATTTAGTATCTTCTATATTATGTATACTGATCCCTTGTCAGAAGAATAGTTAGCAAATATTTTCTCCCACTCTGTAGGTTTTCTCTTCACTCTTTTCTGATTATAAACATATTACATGTTTACTGTAGATAATTTCCAAAGTACGGAAAACATTGAAGAAGAAATAGAAACTCTTCATTTCCCTCCATCTGCTCAGAGATAAGCATCTTTATCATTCTGGACTTCTTTGCTAATCTTTCTTACAAAAACTTGTATGTGTACTGATTTTACATAAATGGAACTGTATTGTTTCATATATATTTTCTGGCTTTTTTGCATTGAAAGTAACTTCATGCATACTTCCCAATGCCATTTAATTTCATGCATGATATTACTGGCTTTATATTATTCAGGAGTAGATATATATGCCACCCAGCTCCTGTTCAATAGCAATGGTAACATTGCATACACGTTAGGACGGGTTGACTTAAGTAAGCTTTGTTGAAAGAGAGATTTGGCAGAGGTGAGGTAAAATAAGATATCTACCTCACATTTCACTGTAAAATAAGTCACTGGAAATTATGGTTTCATGTAAAATTAAAATACGATTTTTTTCTAAATATGCAGTAAACATAAAACAAATTTGTCAGACAAATATCTGCACTTTCACAATAATTACAGCACTATTCACAATATCCGAGTTCTCAAATAAACCAAGGTGTCCCTTAATGGATGAATAGATAAAGAAAATGTGGTATATATACACATTGGTATATTATTCAGTCCTTAAAAAATGAAATTCTGTCATTTGCAGCAGCATTAATGGACCTGGAGGACCATACATCAGATGAAATAAGCCAGGCACAGAAAAACAAATACCGCATGTACTCAGTGAAATATGGAAGCTGAAAAGTGGATCTCAGAGAGGCAGGGGATGGAAGAGGGGCTACCAGGACCTGGGGAGGGAGTGTTAGAAGCAGGATGGTTGGCAGACACAGGGATGCAGTTGACAGGAACAGCCTCCGGTGTTCCAGAGCACAGTAGTAAGACTGTGGTTGAAACAATTAATTGTGTATTGCAACCTATCTTTGAATGTTCCCAATACAAAGAAATCCAAGTGTCTGAGGTGAAAGATATGCCATGAACTCTGAGCTGATTATTATACCTTGTATACTTGTATTGAAACATCACATCATATCCCACAAGTATGTACAGTTAGTCAATTCACAATAAAAACTATCTCAAAACAGACTATTATAACTTAAAGAATTTCTGTTTGACAACAGCATAAAGTTTTAATCAAATTAAGGAGATATTTGTAGCATTTAAATAGCCAATATATTATGTCATATAATACGTAAATATAATTAACATATAAAATAATTAACATTCGTAAAAGAGGGAACTCTACTGAGAAGTTTGTAAAGCACTCCAAGAAGTAAATCTCAGAAAACAAATACAAAAAAATTGAATCTCCTTAGCAATCAAGGAAGTGTACTTCTCACACACCACTTTCTATTCTTCATTTTAAGAGTAATTAGTGTATTTGAAAGGCAGAGTTACAGACAGGGAGCAACAGAGAAAGGGATAGAGATCTTCTGTCCACGGTTCACTCCCCAAATGACCAGGCTGAAGTCCAGAGCCAGGAGCTTCATCCAGGTCTCCCAGGTGTGTGGTGCAGTACCAAACACGTGGGCTGTCTTCTGCTGCTTTCCCAGGGACATTAGCAGGAAGCTGCGTTGCAAGTAAGGCAGCTGGGACTTGAACTTGCTTGTATGAGATGTCAGTGTTGCAGCCAGGGCCATAGCCCACTATGCCACAACGCTGGCCCCATTTTCTATTCTTTATTGATTTTGAAATCACTCCCTATTTTCATCTACATTTGTAAATAAAGGTATTAGCAGTCCCATAACAACAGAGTTGCTGCATTTGTATTGCTGTGCTTCCTCGGCTCCAGGCCTATATTAGGTAAACGTTAGCTCTTACCGTGAACCAGATTAGCCTCAGTATCAATGATGCATGTCGATAAGCATTTTCCTTTCGCTCTCGACTTCCTCAATGAGTGAGGGTGATACAGTTCCCTGCTGCATGTTGGCTGAGCTGGCTGTGTTTCACCTGCCAGTCATTTACTTCCCGAATCCACCTTCTCTGAGGGTGGCATAAAGATAAAAGGTTTGACCAGCCACAGAATCTCATTTGAAGTCCTTCTTGCATCACTTCTTCTAACTTCAAGTTGGCCAGAGAAAGTCACACACATTAAGGCCCAAAGTCAAGGGTAGGGACATGTGCCACTTTTTGTAGCAGTATAATGCAAAGTTACATAGCAGAGAGTGTGGTGTAGGCAAGATAAGTGATTGGGAAAAAATAATTCCCCTTTCTGTGTGTGTGTGTGTGTGTGTGTGTGTGTGAAGCTAAAACAAAACATATCCCTCTCATCTATTATTTATTAACATACTTAATCAGAATAAGCAAAAGTGAGTTTCATCCTCCTTTGACCCAGTTATTTATTTCTATGAAATAAACATTACAGTGGTACACTGAAAAACTTATTTCTGTGAGTATTGCAATATTATTTACATTAGAGAAAATCAGAATCAATCTCTTCTTATTCTGAAACAGTCCCCTCCTTTATTAAAATACTAATGTGATCTAACACAGCCCACATTTCTCATTATTGCACATGACAGCTGGCCAAATAAGTGAAATTATTTTCCCCTCTTAAATCTTCTACAACTATTTGAGTTCTTTAATTTGAAAGAATTACTTATTGAATACCAACTGAATTTCAGTAATAAATTAGTCATAGCCCTCTGACCTTGAGTTACTCAGGTAAACAGAATATGGCTGGAGAGAAAATGTATACAAGAGTCAAGATAGACTTTTTAAATGTGCAGACAAATGTAGATATGCTCTGGACACTCCAGGCTCAAGATCAGGGACAAGTAACATAGCTAGACGAAATCAGCGCAGAACCCACAAGGAATAAGAGCGCTTTGGGTCTAAATGTGGTAAAAAAAATGGTAAACCTTAGCAAGGGTTAATCAATATCAACAATTATGAAAAATACTAAGATAGCATGAAGGTATTTTGCCTATGGACTTTGATTGATATCTCTACACCATTTCCAGAGAAGGAAGTGGATGTACTTTCTTAGGGTCCAAAGCCTGTGGAAAAAAACGAAAAGTCCCCTTTGCTATGTGACCCCGAATTGGGACTGGGATGGAGTCCAGCCACATGATAGGCTGTGAAAGGTCCACATTTACTTGTTATTGTGTCTTCACTTCGAGGTTCTGGTTTTAATTTCTGTTGCACACTCCCAAATATAATTCTGTAGCAAGAGGAAAGGAGGATCCATTTGCTTACCAGAGCTTGTTGGAAGATGGACACATTGTAATTTAATACTGTCCCTTTATGTTATTTCACAACATCAAGTATGTGAGCTCACAGGAAGCAGTAGGTTCTAGTCTATTACTACATGCAGGAGGCAAGAAGCAGTTGGCATGGCAAAGATGACTCGAAGATTTGTGAGTTTTATATTCCATTATGTCTTTGTTCACCCAGTAATTTTTTTAAAAGTTTTTATTATTTTTAATTAATTGAGAGTTAGAGCCAGTGCCGCGGCTCACTAGGCTAATCCTCCGCCTTGAGGCGCCGGCACACCGGGTTCTAGTCCCGGTCGGGGCGCCGGATTCTGTCCCGGTTGCCCCTCTTCCAGGCCAGCTCTCTGCTGTGACCAGGGAGTGCAGTGGAGGAGGGCCAAGTCCTTGGGCCCTGCACCCCATGGGAGACGAGGATAAGTACCTGGCTCCTCCCATTGGATCAGCGTGGTGCGCCGGGCGCAGCGTGCCGGCTGCGGTGGCCATTGGAAGGTGAACCAACGGCAAAGGAAGACGTTTCTCTCTGTCTCTCTCTCTCACTGTCCACTCTGCCTGTCAAAAAATTTTTTTAAAAAGAGAGAGAGTTAGAAAAAGGGTTAGAGACAGAGAACTCCTATCCACTGATTCATTCTCCAAACACCTACAAGGGCCAGGACTGGGCCAAGCCAAAGCTCTCAGCTGGGAACACAGTCTTGGTCTCACACAAGGATGACAAGAGTCCAATCACTTGATGCAATGCCATTGCCTCACAGGGTCTGCATTGTGATGGAGCTGGAATCCCGAATTGGGACTCTGAGTCAAACCCAGGCACTCCAACATGAGATGTGCTCATCTTAACTGCTAGGCTAAATGCCCACTCTCCATTGTTAATTTGTTTAGCATATGTTGCAACGATGTTGGAAGGCTAACATAGTTCATTAAAATGATTTAGGATCGTAAATGTATACATCACCTTGGTCGAATAGCAGACCCAGACCCACAAGGAGCAGTGTAAGCCATGTTCAGACCACGGCTGCCTGTGACTTCACTTCCTGAGTTAGAAACACTGCAGCCTGGAGCTCTGAGTCTGCCCTCCCATCTCTATCCCAAAGGACTCAAAAGATCAAACCAGGAATCAAGTGCATCTAAAACTGTCTTTCTATCTTAAAAACAGGAAGAAATGGAAACTTACTAGGGTCAGCCCCTTCTCATACTGATTACCTCTGAGGTAAAGTGAGACTTCAGAAGTAGACCTGAGACCCCTGATTTGAGCAGCATCAGCAGAAAGAAACTCATCTTTGTCAGGAATTAAATACGAATTCAATTAGAATAAAAACTTTCACTCACCCCATGGAAGAGATTTTACACCACGAAAAGCAGATGTTCCAACAACATTGAGAGCACTTTGCCTGGCAGTCTATGGAATTTTCCATCTTGTAGCCCAGTCGATGGTGACAGATGCACAGAGCCAGTCTCTCTAACTCACAAAGCAGCTTCCATTCCCCATGCTCTTTTAATTAGATTTACTTCTTTAACCAGAGTAGCATTGGGTTGAAAGAATGAAGCGGGCTGGGGGTGGGGGAGGGGTTCCTTCCTTAATACTGGGTTAGCAAGTTTAGAGAAGGTTGAAGGTTAAGAGGCTGAGATCTTTTGGCTGGGGGGGGGGGGGTGTTGGGTGGTTCTTTCACAGATAAGGCTTTTTTTATTTATTGTGAGCTTGTACAGTTGGGAAAAATAGGAATGAAATTAATCACTAGAGGTTGTGCTGAGATCATACCTTGGCTCTATTTTCAGCTTTGAACAGATTAAAGGACAATGGAGCATAAATGGAAATTAGGAGAGATTTAAAATAGATGTTGTGTAGCACTTTTTCATGGTGGATAATGAATGTGTGGAACGGCCTATGAGTCAAGGCTGTAAATGAAGAAACACTAGGACCACTTATACCACTTTGGGGGATAGATGACTAGGATGAAGGGGACCTAGAAGGGCACCAATGACCTTTGGTTAGCACTGAAAATGTCTAAAGTTTACATTTTTAAGCTTACTTTGGTTTGTATTTGTTTAACCAGAACACATAGAGAAACCCAGAAATGAGGTTAGATTTTGTAAAAGAGAAGCAGTGAATTATGAAAGCTGAAACGCAAGTGATCATTCACTTTGTACAGTCGTGTCTGTCATGAAATAAGGCAATGCCACATGCGGCTCAGTTCTCACTTCTTTCCATTCTGTTATGTTTACATGTGTTTTATCTTTGTTCAATCTTTTCATTTGGATTGCAAGAATCTCCTAACAGGTATTTGTATTTTTATTCCCTTTGGCTTGATTTTAGACTAATTTGTCTCCCAAAATTCAGCAAGACTATATTTTCTAAAGTGCAATCTAATTATGAAAGTGTCCTGTTTACGATAGTTAGATCTCCCATCTTCTTACGGAAAAATGTCCAGTTCCTTATCTTTCACAAGGCTTTCTCCTCCTCCTTGGATAATCTTCTGTTGGCTGTTTCCACTCTCAATTAACTCTTGTGTGTGTGTGCCAAACTCTTCTTCAGTTCATCATTGCTCATTCAATTTGCTTTTATAGCTATTTATTTACTGCATTGGGAGTAGAGCAACAAACAAGAAAAAAAGGTAAAGTCTAGTGTCTAACTACTAAGCCGATAGCTACCTGTTGTGACAGTGCGGAGGACCACGAGGAAGCATGCAGAAAAGCAAGAAACGAAAGCAATGCTATGACAGGGTTGTCAGCACAGGTCTTCCTGAAAAGGCAACAATGGGCTTGACGAAAGCAAGCGAAGCTGCAGACACTGGAATGACAGCAGCCTGGATACACCTTGGCTCTTCCAGGATTTGGGAGCGCAGAATTCATTCAGAAAGGAAGACAGCCATTGACATTAAAAACAAAAACCACAATATCTAGGGAATTCAAATGTTCATCTAGGAACTGTGGCTTCAAACTGAGGTGAGGGTTTCTGCTGTGGCGTTGAGTGACACGGGAAGTCAGCGATGCAGAGTTGCATGGCCTTACTTATAATGCTGGGTAGGGCAGAGAAGCTACACAGGGGTAACTACATTTGACAGGAGAAGAAAAAGTAGGGCATGGACTAGGAAGGCTTTACTGGACATGGTGACAAATGGTCATTTGTGACCTACATGCTCCAGGTGGAATCCACAAAGTACCAGCATCCTTGTGCGTGATCATCCGGAACTGTGAGGCCCATGTCCATGCATTAATTAAGCTGGATTTCATCAGAACAGTTCCTGGCCCTCCTCATCATGGGAGTTAGCTTCATGCCTGCTCCAGCAGGTGTATGGGTGTGCCGCCCTCTCTAGGACCCTGAGGCTCCAAGATCATGTGCTTCCTTCTCTGTCTTTCCTTGACATTGCCTGAGAAAGGTGATGAAAAGTGGGGATTTCTCTTTAGTGGCCCTTCTTGAAATGGACTGTGTCTTTCAGGAGCAGGAACTATGTTTTTCTTTAAAGTTGCACATAAATACCAGCACCAAAATGAGGGGTGCATCTAGTTTAGCTTAAAACCCAATACACAGTACTTAGCATAGGCTAGTAATTTTTTCTTGCTCTCCTAGAATGACTAAAATAATTATTTTATATTCACCTCATAATGACCACAGCTGGTGAAGGAAATAAAGTACATATCATCTTGCCCATTTAATTGACAATGAAATAGGGTATGGTGGCTCAAGACTCAACAAAGTTTGCAAATTTTCAGGAAACACAGTTAAAGTTTTTGATGCTAAGTTTAGAGTAATATAGCAATTGGAGTAAAAGCTTTATAAAAATTTTCTTCAAATTAAACTTTTTATTGTGAGATAATCATAGACATAGACATATATACAGGTTGTAAGACACGAAACAGAGGGGCCAGCACTGTTGGGCATAGCGCACTACCTCCACCTGCAGCACCGGCATCCCATATGAGCGCCGGTTCTAGTCCCAGCTGCTCTTCTTCTAATCCAGCTCTCTGCTATGGCCTGGGAAAGCAGTGGAAGACCAGAAGCAGCTCCTGGCTCCTGCTTGCGGATCAGCCCAGCTCCAGCTTTTGCGGCCATTTGGAGGGTGAACCAGCGGACAGAAGACCTTTCTCGCTGTCTCTCCCTCTTTCTGTCTGTAACTCTACCTTTCAATTAAATAAATAAAATCTTAAAAAAAAAAAAAGAAATAAGACAGAGTCATCTCTCCCCCTAGTTTCTCCAAAGCAAACATCTTGTAAAGCTGGAGTATAATGTAAGAAATGAGATGCTGACATTGGTGCAGTCAAGGTAAGGAATTTTATGTGTGTCGTCACTCTCATATAGCAACACCTACTGCCCTCCCATTCTTACATCCTCCTGCACTACTAATCTATTGGCTACTTCTATAATTGTGCTATGTCAACAATACTATATATAAATGGCAAGTAACTATTTTATTTTTTTAAATATTTTTTATTTATTTGAAAGACAGAGTTACAGAGAGAGGTAGAAACAGAGAGAGAGGTCTTCCATCTGCTGGTTCACTCCTCAGATAGCAGCAACGGCCAGAGCTGCGCCATTCTGAAACGTGGAGCCAGGAGCTTCTTCCAGGTCTCCCCCATGGGTGAAGGGTCCCAAGCACTTGTCCCAGCTTCTACTGCTTTCCAAGGCCATAGCATACAGCTGGAGCGGAAGTGGAGCAGCCAGGACTCGAACCAGTGCCCATAGGGGATTCCAGCACTGCAGGCAGCAGCTTTACCAGCTAAGCCACAGGGCCAGCCCTCCAGATGTTATTATTATTATTATTATTATTATTATTATTTTGACAGGCAGAGTGGACAGTGAGAGAGAGAGAGAGACAGAGAGAAAGGTCTTCCTTTTGCCGTTGGTTCACCCTCCAATGGCCGCCACAGCCGGCGTGCTGCGGCCGGCGCACCGCGCTGATCCAAAGCCAGCAGCCAGGTGCTTCTCCTGGTCTTCCATGGGGTGCAGGGCCCAAGCACTTGGGCCATCCTCCACTGCACTCCCTGGCCACAGCAGAGAGCTGGCCTGGAAGAGGGGCAACCGGGACAGAATCTGGCACCCCGACCGGGACTAGAACCCGGTGTGCCGGCACCGCAAGGCGGAGGATTAGCCTATTGAGCCACGGCGCCAACCCCAGATGTTATTTAAGTCTTCTGTTTTTGCCTGCCTCTTCTGACACCAATGTGGCAGAGGAATAAGGCTGCTACCACCTCACTACTGCCAGAAAAGAGGTAAAATTCCAGGTTTCTCACTTGGCCTTTGCTGACATCTAGGAGAGGGGATCTGCCTCAATTTTGCCAGGCAGGTATGGGAGTCCAGCTCCTTACTAGGCCCTAATACTTCCCTATTATTTGGAAAGAACAGACTCCCCACATCAGCCCCACTGACATCACGATGTTGTGGGCTCTTTAGTATCCAGCAGGACTGAGAGGGCCTGCTCCCTCTGTTTTCTGCTAGGCAGTTTCCAGGGTGTCTGGATAGAATGAGCAGTCGTTGTCTAGACAGACTTCTGCTTTGCTGGCTTGCCCCTTTCCTGCTTGTGGGCCTGAAGACAGCAGGATTTAGTAGGGGCCTTCTTATCAGTGCCTGCTATTGTTTTGGCTCTTTGCACTCCAGGTCTAAGATCTACTAGGCAAAGCAACAGCTCAGGAAACACCTTGGTGATTTTCCTCAAGCCCTGGGATCCCTAGGAAGTCTGTCTTCTTCTCGCCACATTTCAGTTTTATGTGTGTGTTGTGTCATTTTCCAGATCTTTACCTGTACCTGGGAGAATAGAAATAGAAATAGAAATAGAAAAAATATGTATATTCTATCATTAGGAGGATTTTTAAAAAACATTGAAGGCCGGCGCCGCGGCTCACTAGGCTAATCCTCTGCCTTGCGGCACTGGCGCACCGGGTTCTAGTCCCAGTCGGGGCGCTGGATTCTGTCCCGGTTGCCCCTCTTCCAGGCCAGCTCTCTGCTGTGGCCAGGGAGTGCAGTGGAGGATGGCCCAGGTGCTTGGGCCCTGCACCCCATGGGAGACCAGGATAAGTACCTGGCTCCTGCCATCGGATCAGCGCAGTGAGCCAGCTGCAGCGCACCAGTCGCAGCGGCCATTGGAGGGTGAACCAACGGCAAAGGAAGACGTTTCTCTCTGTCTCTCTCTCTCACTGTCCACTCTGCCTGTCAAAAAAAAAAATGAAATAGAATTATCAATCATAATAATATTTAAAGAGAAAATAACCTGAGTATCTTATTGCCACCATTTATCTTTAGGAAAAAAATTCTTTTTGCCAATACGAAGGCTTGAACTTAATCAATATTTTCAACTAATGTATTAGTTATGGCAAACCCAAAAATTCAGGTCAACCCCCAGAAAGGCAACTCATTGAGCCTTATTGTCATCGTCACTGAGCCTGGAGCTGTGCACAGCGAGTCTGGGAGCTCCTGTAAGCGTTAACTTCCCTCTTCAGGTGACTGCACAGCTACACTTGTACCAAAGCTACTCAGACTCATTTACATTATTTTAGCTCTATTCTGCTACCACAGAAAGGATACTTATTTTAAGCACCAAA